GCGCCTGGTCCGGGTCCGGGTCCTGGCCCTGGCCCTGGTCCTGATTCGGGTCCTAGTCCTGGCCCTGGTCCTGATTCGAGTCCTAGTCCTGGTCTTGGTCCTGGCCCTGGTCCTGATCCTAGTCCTCATCCTAGTCCTCATCCTAGTCCTCACCACATCCTGGTCCTGGTCCTAGTCCTGGTCCTGTCCTGCTTCAGCTTCTGGCCCTGGTCCCATCCTAGTCCTGGTCCCGTCCTTGTCCTGGTCCTAGTCCTGGTCCTGTCCTGCTCCTGCTCCTGCTTCTGGCCCTGGTCCCATCCTGCTCCTAGTCCTTGTCCTGGTCCCGGTCCTGTTCTGGCCCTGATCCCATCCTGCTCCTGGTCCTCATCCTGCTCCTGATCCTTGTACTGACCCTGGTCCTTCCACAGGTGCAGCTGAGGTCCTTCCCAGTGTGTCCCAGCAGGCAGTTCCCACGTGCCACAGGCACAGCTCCCAGGGACCCCTGGTCTGTGCCTCTCTCTGCAAGGCTGAGGTGCAGTTATCACGGTGGTATCATCATAGTGTGTTAAGAGGTTGGAATGGACCATAGAGATCATCTGGTCCCAACCCCCAGATACTGACACAGCTTGCCCAGGGAGGCTATGGATGTCCCAACCCTGGCAATGTTCAAAGCCCAGGTTGGACAAAGCCTTGAGCAACCTGGTCCGGTGGGAGGTGTCTCGGTCCAGGGCAGGGGGTTGGGACCAGATGATCTCTAAGGTCCATTCCAACCCTCTAACGTTCTATGATTCTATGATACTCCTTGATAATGTGCATTTGCTGATGTCTTGGCAGCTGCTGTCTGCCTAATGCTTGTAAAAGGATTTTCAAATTAATTTATTCTGGTGTCTTTTCTGATATTGAGCTAACACCAATGAGTTCGTAACCACAGCTTTGTGTGTGGGTTTTGTTGTTGGAGCTCTAAATGAGGTCAAAGGAATTTTATATTTCTGGTGAACTCACCAGTTCCAAATCTTTGCTTGTGCAAAACTAAATTACAAATTGGTTGAAATATTATGTTGGAAAAGAACAAGTATTCCCAAATAATCCTACTCCTGCTGACAGCAGCTATGGGACAGGTTTGGGGAAAAAAAAGTCCTGAGATAGTGTTTAGAGACCTTAAGTTTTCCTTTCTCCTCAGTTCCCTAAGGTCCTTCAGCAGTTCATGGTCCTTTTGATGTGGAAATTGTTTTGGCTGAAACTCCTGGTGTCCCTTTTCAGTAGTGTGTCCTTATCTGAACACTTTGCCATCTGAACAGTCACAGTGCTCTCTCCTTTGCTGGCCTGTTTGTGCCTGGACCAGGTTGCCACAACAGCCAAGCACTGAGAGAGGGACACAGAGCTGTCAGAAAGTGTTGCTGCTGCTGCTGTCAAATGGTTTGCTCAGCAACAGCACATTGTGTTACACCTGGGAGCTCCAAACTGGGAACTGGGAGGCCCAGGCAGACCTGGAGATTTGTTGTGGAGGGTATCAAACCCTTCCACAGGAGGTGCTGAATTCTCTACTCTCTATTTCTGAGTCCGTATGGAGTGTGTCCTTCAAGTGACACCTAAATTAGGAACTCTTTGTAAGGATAGTTTAACATATTTTAATGGCATGGGATACTCAGATTAGGCATAATGAGCTCTGGTGGCTTCTGTTTTTAACACCGTGTTCACCTCTTAAAATATGACAGAAACAAAATGAGCCTGTTACAATAAAACAGGCACTGAGGGAGTTTCCCTGTACAAGAGATTTGTGTATCCATCACACTCATCCTGGACAGCTCCCATGAACCAAAATGCTTAAGCTGCTCTGGTTCTTGCTACATTTCAGGTGTAATGTCCCACATTCTGCTCTATGTGCCTCCCTCCAGCTGCAGTCAGAACAGGCTGTGTTACAGGTGATCATCAGAGGCTGTTCCTTGAGGACTGAAGCTGTTGGGAACTGTAGGCAGTGCCACTGTAGGTGTCCCTAGTGCCTAATGTGCTGCAGGTGACATCAGAAATTGTTTTCTAGCAGGTTCAGGGACTCATATAAACACAAATATGTGGCACACACACTGACTCCCATTTGCGGATCTCAGAGAACAACTATTAACCAAAACAATTACCTAAAATTCCTTGGAATTGGAATGCTCTTTGGATATTCTCCTGACTGTCCTCTCTGCCAATATTTGTGAACAGTGAGTGGAGACATTACATGAGAAAAATAAAAATGTTAAAATCCAAAGTCTGTCAATTTGTACATTAGTCTTTGCTGGAATTTGTCATTGGAGAGCTCAAAATCACAATTTTTATATTGTGGTGAACTCACCAGTTCAAAGTCTTTGCCTGTGCTACTTATAAAACCAAATAATAAATGGGTTAAAATATGATTATGTTGAAAAAGGACCAATAGTCCTGCTCCTAATGTCAGCAGCTATGGAGCAAGTATGGGGAAGAAAAGCCGTGAGAGACAGTGTGTATGGTTTGTCCCCACTTCTGAAGCAAGACCTGAGAGCTATGGTCTCATTCAGACTTGAGCCTCAGACATGATGGGATTTCATGAGGAGACAAGTGATGTAACTGCAGATGAGCTTAGAACAGCAAAGGGAAAAGCAAAAGACACAGAATGCTGCAAGTTTATTCAAATCTCCACAAATCTGATGATAATGAGATTTATTGCAGGGCACTACAGAGATCAGTCATGCCCAAGGTGCCCATCCAGGCGAGGACTCCTGAGCAGTGTCACTTTGAGAGAAAGGTGTTTCTGTTGTGCTAACTGCTTTTCCCTAGGACAAGCATGGGGATAACAGGGGAAAACTATTTTACAGAACAGCCTCAGTGCCAAGTTCCCAGGACGGTGACTTTTGGCCCTTCCCTGGGCACTGCTCAGGAAGTCATTCCCAATACCTGCAGAGTCCCTGCTTTGAATGGGGATATGCAAGGTGGTTACAGATGATGGGTGAGGAAGTCAGAAGTCATCCTCCTCCCCTGCACTGAGCTCATTCTTGTTCTCTCAAAAGCACTGTGTACTCTTCTGCTGTTTTTCCAGCATCTGTGAAGGAACAAGCAAACAGAAGTCAGGATAATAGAGAGGAGAGTGAGGAGCAAAGGCACACAAAAGCACAACTCAAAGTTCATAGTGTGTTAAGGGGTTGGAATGGACCTTAGAGATCATCCAGTCCCAACCTCTAGACACTGGCACAGGTTGCCCAAGGAGGTAGTGGATGTCCCCTGAGCATCCACTAAATTAGGAAGAGCTGAGATGAAGATGAGCTGCGATGAAGATGAGCTGAGATGAAGGAAATTACAAATTGGAGCTGATATATTTTTGGAGGGGCAATAGGTTTGAGATGAGATTTCATGAGAACAAGAAAACAAAGGGAATCAAAGCCCATGAACAGTGAGAAGCAGCAAAACCCAAATGTGTTGCCTCAGTAGAGAAGAAACCCTAGAGAACCAAATCAGCTCTGACTGAGATAAGGATTAAATTTCAATTTCAACCTGGAGCTATTTTGTTTTTTGATCTCATATGCTAACCACAAAAACCATTATATATATAGGCATATCTATGTCTCTCTTTAAATACTCCCTCCACAATCCCTATTATCATCTAATCCTTCTCAATTATTTTCTTTATGAACTAAACAAAATAAACCAGTAATCCTTCTCAGTGATGTGAATTTTTCATGAAAGTCAGAAGGTGACTATAGCGTGACCATCTCATGACCACATTATATTTCCCTGGGAAGTCAATTGATGCTGTGCTGACTTATGCCATACTGGGATTGGGCCCAATATAATTTAATGATACTAAAAGCTCATCAGAGATAATTCCTCAGAGAGAAAAAGCTTACTCTGGATTTCTTTGGGTACACGTAGTAACTGCTGGCATTGATGAAGTCTACCTACCATACTGTTTTCCTCTGTTTCCATTGTTATGCATTGAAACTGACAATTTAACATTGGTTTCTTCATTCTCACGGACGTTCAAAATGTTTAACACCTTCCAAGAAATCAGAAGGAAGACCTCTTAGCTTTCCCACTAAAGGACTGTACTCTTACATGCTTGACCTGCTAACAGAGCAGATGCTGCATACAAGAACTGTAGAATAAGGTTAAATATAGAAGATCTATACAAATACACTCATATCCTGCTGACAGATCAAGCTGATAATAGTCTTATTTTTTAATTGTTACTTTGTAAGAAATTCCTGAACACAGTAAGTGATGTTATCTGATAAGAAAGCTTTCCTGGAGTCACTCTTGCCACTACTTTTGAAATTGCATCAATAGCTTTGGCTTATTCTTTGTCTTATACAGGATATGCAGCACAAGCAATGTGAATATTTTGGCTCTTGATACATCAAGACTGAGAAATTTGGCAAAGTATTTCCTGAGGTCACAGTGAACTACCTTCAAACTTCTGGGAGAAAAAAAAAAGGGACTTTTGCAATCTTGTTCTTAATTCTTACTAACATTCTGGGCTAATATAGAGTGTTCCCTCTGCAGCTCCTTCAGGAGCTCCTCACAAAAACATTACATAAAAAATCCAATAGCTGTGCCTGCATCTGCTAGAATGTTTGTATTTATCATGAAGTAATGACAAAGAACATAGATTTGTTATGCTGGTAACAGTGTGATTAGCAGTACA